TCGATTACGTGTTCATGCATACTATGAGAACCATCAAACTTCATGGTGGTCAACGTACTCATCAATGTCCCAGCGAGAGATTTGTCAGCAGTTTGAGAGCGCTCTTCCACAAATTTCATAAATTCTTTCACGTCCTTAGTTTTGGAAAAAGCATACTTAATATTGCTTGCAATACTCATTCGTATAAACATAAGACTAAGTCTGTTTAACCTTTTCCAAACTCTATAATGAGTTTTCTCTTTGTTGCTACTAGCATTAGTGATAGCAGTCAGTTTTTCAACTTGGAAAGCCAAATCCAACTCACCTAAGTGAAATTGGACTTTCTCACTCCAGTCAGGGAATTTAATCTATTAAAGACTGGAACAGACGAAGTAAGCGAATGTAGAAATACATAAACAAATACTTCAATTAACACATGCCTAACATTAACGCTTTGAGTCATAAAAACTAAATATAATTACAGATTCAAACATAAATAACCATTCTATGCATACTAATGTTCTCCTTTGGGAGATCCACTAATACACAAACATAATTACGCTAATCTTTTTATAACTTTAATGATAATTAAAATATGCATCAACTAGAATCACCTAACACCTTTGGGTATATAAATAAAACTAGTGACGCACACAAAATTATCTACTTTCATGTTCATTAATTATAATAACAACTAATCAACCTTTGGGTGATCCCGAAATGCCTTATAATAATGAACTTCAATTAACCCATAAATCATTAGTCATAATTTTAGCATTCATACTATAGGTAATTGAAATAAAATCACTAATAATTTGAAATCAAAATAACCTTAAAATTTTGGTCACTTTGGTGACTAACAAAATTTATCATGCTTAATTTCAAATAAATAACATCTTTAATTGCTATTAACCATTCATAGAATTTTTTTTATTAATTTTAATAAATATGTACATTATTCACATAATAAAATATTATGTGTCATAAATAAAATTGAAACTCATAATTTCAATTTTCATCCTAAGATTGATTTTCAATCCAAGACATTTATTTGCATTTCACGTAAAAGTGAAATTGTCATCCATTCAAAACTTTTATGAGTAATTTAAACACAATGGAAACAATACAATTCAGGTTTGCAAAACAAGATTCGTTCATAATGTTTACATTATAGGTACATTAACAAAGCTTCACGAGTACATTAACAAAACAAGTATATTAACAACCTTAACAAAGCTTCATAGTACATTAACAACCTTAACAAAGCTTTACGAGTACATTAACAAAGTTTTATAGTACCCATAACAAAGTTTTATAGTACCCATAACAAAGCTTTACGAGTACCCATAACAATATAGTACCCATAACAAAGCTTTACGAGTACCATAACAAAGCTTTACCGTACCATAACAAAGTTTTACAAGTATGAGTATATTATACAACTCACTTTAACATAAAAATATCTCTTTAATTATCCTTCCCCCACATAAAAAAATATGTACGTACAAAATAATGTACAAATAATATGGGGACAAAATAATATAGGGGAAAATGACTTTAGCGAGTCACCAGATCACCAATATGTACATACAAAATAATATTATAAATAATATAATATAATATAATATATGAAACATATGTGCTTAACACGTGTTCTCTACGTGCAAAGTTTATCAAATTTACAATTTATCATTCTTCTATCATAATTATAACATCCCATCATAACATCTCATCATAATTATAACATCTCATCATAATTATAACATACAATGAAACTAATTTCATACATGATTCATCCTAACCCTATCACGTCATTTGCCTTTTCAATTAGAAAGGATTACAGGGTCATTCACGCATAGAGACTATAAAATTGGTTTCAATTTGAACTTGAAAACATAATTAGGGTTTATTCCTTTATTTAATTTTGAGAAAAATAAAATTGGGAATAAATTAGGGTTCATACTAATCTGATAGAGAAATCCCTAAATTCATAATTAGGGTTTATCTTAATTTGGGAAAAACATCATTTGAGAAATATTTTCATAAAAGGAAAATCATAAATCTAATAATCGAGTTCCGATACCACATGTAAAACACTATGTAGTTTTCCTACGTTCTTAATTCATTATAGAAAACTACTCTACAGGATCTTTAGATTATTGATTTTCACAATTTTACATACATCAATACATGAATCATAGTAAGAAGACTAACCTTGATCCATGAGAATTTTTTCTTTGATCTTTTCGTTCTCCTATCTCCTTTTCCCAATCTATCTCTTTGTCTTTCTTTCTCTTCTCACGCTTCGCTTTCTTGATGGTTTACCGTGAAAAACCTTATGGCCAGAGACGTAACCCTAATCCCTTTTATTAACCAACGTCCATCAAGTTGGTTACCAGTAAGTTAATATTTTATTTTATCTTTATTTTATTCTGACTTCACATAATAACCAATAGGTCCTCATATTTTATTAAATCACATTTGGGCCCATTATTATATTTCACATGAGTCACATGAATTAATTAAATTAATTCTAACATTGTATACACTTAAGCTTTATCTTAAAATGAAGATAAGAAAATTTGTAGGTTAAAGATTACAAGTAAATTTAGGATTCCCTAAAGATTAACTATATGGGGGAATGAAGACATAGAGATTAAAGATTACCATATAAAACTTGTGAATTAGAATCATTCCAATTTATTGTAATTAGAGTTGAGAAATCAAACCAATTATCCCATCCAATAAAAAATCATAATTGGATTAAATTAAGTCTTTATAAATCCAACTAACTATTGATCAAATTAAATTGGATTAATTATGTTACAAAATTTTGAAATTTATTTTTTATTAAAAATTTTAATATCATATATTTTATAATTTTTTTTAAATAAACTATATTATTTAGTATTTTAATAATTTAATATTTTAAAAATACATATAATATTATAATTTATTAAATAATAATTATATGTCTATTATCAATAATATTAATTTTATTTAATTTTCTTTTATCAAATAAATTGAATTAGATATGACATACAAAATTTATTATTCAACTTAACCAAATTTAAATAAATTCTGTTATTAGGTTTCCAATCTATAAACAACTTTAATTATAAAGTTATCTTCGTAAACACATTACATAATATATATATATATATATATATATATATATATATATATATATATATATATATATATATATGTGTGAAAAAAATAATTATCCTTTTTCAATCATTAATATTCATATTCTCATGTGTAAATCTTCTTCTCACGTGAAATATTACTAAATTCATTATGCTTTTATTTTCTACAATTTATAATATTTGCTACACTTTTGTTCTTCAAGCTAACTACATAAAATATCCTACTCATAATTTTATTTTTTTTTATGGATAATTTCTGCACCTCCATCTCTTGGTTATTTGATTATTTTTATTATCACTTTTATTAAAGATCTTTTCTAATAATTAAAGATAAGTAATCATCTATTGCTTATTTGATTTTTTTGTACTATAATCTTCGTTGGAGACTTTTTCTAATAATTAAAGATAATAGTTAATATTATGTATGAATTACATGTTTATGCATTCGAATTATACAAACAGATCCAAATTGTTCAATTTAAAATAATGTTGCCAAAATGATGTTAAATTCCATAAAAGTCAATCTATAAATGCATTTTGGATTTGGATGTTTCAAAATATGCTTTAAAAAAAATTAATATGAAAAAATATTTTAGATTAAGTGTTTCATAATGTATTTTTAAAAAATCAATTGAATAAATAAATTCCTGAATATATTTTTTTGAAAAAAAATCTAATTTGCTCACTTTCTCTAAAATGTGTTTCCAATCCAAAAATTTGTTACATGAATACTGTACATATAAAAATTTGATACAAAATTAAAAAAGTTGTACATTGTTACTTATTTCTTATAAATTTTGAAATAATAGGAGAGAAAAGAACGAAAATGTTGCAGTAGGACTTAAAAATAATCATTGAAAAAATAAAAAATAAATATTAATGAAAGATGAATGAGATTTAATTTAATTATGGCATGGGGGTGGGATTTAGAAAGAAAGAGGCCGTATATTAAATGAATGATAAAGTTCTATTTATAAGTGCGTTAGGATTTGAATATCCAACCCATTCACCATTTTTTTAACAGACTACGAAGTCGGCCCATGTAGTTCAATCCTAATTTTTCTTTCCTCTCTCCACAAGTTTTTTTTTTTCATTTTTTTTATCTGAATTTCTATGTAAAACATTTTTTAAATATTGTTAATTTTATAAAACAGTTTTTATTGTTACAAATAATATTTATATAAAAACTACTTAAAAATCAATATTTTTTACAATTACATTTTTGTTAAGCATAAACAAATAAAACCATTAACTATCAAAGAAATCGGACATACACATATTTTTTTCACTTTTATAGTTCTAATTAGTTATTATTTGAACAATAAAATTAAAAAATGATTATTTAAAATTTATGTTTGATTGTAATTTTGGTCTTTTTATTTTTTTTTTAAATCTACAACTTTTGGTTTTCTTAATTTTTCTCGTAATTTTAATATATTTTTTTAATTATTTGTAAAAATAGCAAAATATTACAGATAATTAAAGTAAAAAAATCAAATAATTAAAAATTAAGGATTAACATCACATAAAAATTAAATTCATATGATAAATTACACATAATTAAAATTTAAAATATTAAAGAAAAAAACTAAAATTTGAATGAGTAATATATTCCTAAATTATAATTTGGACTAAATTTAGTAATAAAAAACACATTTCTGTTCCGATGACTGCCCACAAATGTATAACTAAAGTGACTGAGAAATGAAATAAAAGTAATTAAAAAATAAAAGTAATTAATATCCTTATCAAACAAGTTACTATTCCTTTTTTACTTTCTTGGTGGATACGAAAGATTTGGAGATCATGAAATCTTTCGGAAAAACCTGAGTATATGAGTATATACTCTGTGTGTGTGTGTTTGTTTGTGCGATGGCGAAACTGAAGATAGGAGGGATATGGGCGGGGGTAGTGGAAGAGGTGGACCTCCACGCCTGGACTCTCGCCACACTCCGCGACCACGTCGCTGAGCGATCCAACTCTTCCTCCGACTCCATCAATCTCATCTGCGCCGGCAGGATTCTCCGAGACGACGCCGTTCCGCCCCAAACCCTCTCCCAACTCGGCGTAAAAAACAACTCTAAGATTCTCGCTACGCGCGCCTCCACTCCGCAGCAAGACCGCTCCCTCCTCGCGGAGGAAGAGCGTGCCTCCAGACTCGCGCGTATCAGGTCACGCGCCTCCGCGCAGTTTCAATTTCGCAAAAAAAAGAAAAACCGTCGTGATTTTGGTTTGCTTAGTTGGTTGTTTTTGACGTGGACAGGTCCGCTGCGACTGCGATGGCGGAACGCCACGCGGATGGTGCGTTGCCGGTTGAGAACTTCAACATCGAAGTTGAGGATCAGAATGGACAGAAAGTGCGATTAGGCTCTGAGACTGATCAAAAGTATGTTGCACGTGTAAGATTTTGTGTTTGGAGTTTTCGTCTTGAATTGGAGTGTGAGGGTTTAGGTTCTGTGGCAGGGCGGTGATGATGGGACTGATGCTTCACGCGAAGGGGAAGAAACTCATCAAACAGGAGAACTACAAAGATGCGCTGGAAGTGCTTAGCATGGGAGAGGTTAATTTCTGATTAATTTATGTTTGTTGCCAATGTGTTATTCAAATGAGCAAATTACACTCATAACTATACACTCCTTTTGGTTTCTTTGAAATTCACACTGTACTCTTGCCTTTTTAACTTGTTACTATGTAGTTTTTTGGGTGAAAAGGAGTGTCACTGTAGTGTAATTCACTAATTCAAATTGTTAACAAGGACTAACTACTGTAAGTGAAAAAAAAGGAAAGGCAGGGTGATTTTCGACGAATCAAGTACTGAGCTGCAATGATGCTGTTCGATGTAACTCACCATCATTGTGCTCAATGAAATGTAACAATAGGCAATGAATTATGAGTTTTGTGTGGTGAAGTGTAATAGCCTTTGTTAGGGTACAGGGCCAGGAGTTGAGGATATAGTTTCTTTAACATTTTTACCGTCTTTAACATTGACATTTTCAGTAGGATTTTTGCTATATTATTATTATTTTGATTGACAATGGCTTATAATCATAAAGTTGCACACATGGCCTCTCCTCTGTCTTGCTATGGGTAGTGTTTTTTTATCAGTTTTCACTCCTAATTCAAGAATTCAAATTTAATTTATTTTTGCAGGAGTCATTCTCTCTTTGTGATTCAGAAGTCATTGAGGTGAGCGATTTATTCGAATCTATATCCTTATTTGGGCCCAAGAGAGAATTTTCTTGCAAATTGTTCGTTTGAGTAAAGAAAAGGGACATGATATAGTGCAATTGTGTACTTGTTTCACTGAAAACTGTGTCTTAGCTGCCTTCCTTTTGTTTGTCTGCAAACGAAGTGAGCGATAGCCTCTTTTTCTCTCTGAGTCTGTTGGATTGCATACGAAAAAGTTGAGTTTTTAGAGGGAATATAAGATTGAGATCCTCTAAACTGATAGACGGAGAAAATATGAAGTAATAAATATTTTGTTGAAGTGTCAAGTCAGTGGATTTTAACGGTTGATTCCTCCATTTATTGTTATAACTGTATTATTTTTCCTCTATAGTTCACCCCTCAAATTAGAGCATCCAAATTATTTATATTTATATATTTGTTCTGAGTTTAATAGAATTTTTGTCTCTTCAGCTTATTGACAATGTTCCTATACTACAAATAGACATGGTATGGTGCTATTTTATGATACGGGACATCAGATGGCTCGCAGACGCGGGAAAGCGTCTTGAAATAGCTAGGATGGGTATTGAACGGGCTCATGGAAAGGATTCTCATCGCCTCAGGATCTTACAAGGTGGTCGATATCCAGAACTTGCATTGTAAGTTGTATCCCTCTTTTTTTTAGTGAAATTTCAAATAGATTAATTTCAATATATTTATTTTTTCATCTTTTAAATAATCAATTTGTTTTGTTTGTAGGCATTTGAGACTAGAGCTGCTTGAAGGGGTGGTGGCATATCATACTGGGCAGATAGAGAAATCCAGAAAAGCATTAGCCTCTGCAAAAACTAAGTTTGTCCAGGTTGGTTGAAGTATGATAAAATTGATAGAAAAAATTAAAGTCACATTTTACACATTTGTTGGAGTTAATAACAGTTTCAAATTTCCTTTTAAATATTCTTGTGTTATATATATATATAGAAAAAACAATATGTTATTTTTAATTAGTTAATATATACATATATACATATATACATATATATACATATATACATATACATATATATATATATATATATATATATATATATATATATATTGTATGTATAACATAATCCAACTTATAATTATTTACATAATAAGTTATCCTTTACATAAATAAACATAGATATTTTATCCAAATTTTACATATAATAAATACTATATTTCTTTGCAAGTATTATATTATATTAACCATTTTCGCAATCTAAGAAGGAACAAAACTATGTGGAAATCAAAAGACGTGACAGGAAGAGACTTTAAATGGGAGATGCCATGAGCAGGTTTCATGTGATATAATTATTGTACCCAAATCATGCACTACTTGTGCTGGTTTTGGGCTATGTTAAATCAATAAAATTTCTTTGCTTTTTCAAAAACAAAACTAAATTTTGTGTACTTCAGTTTACTTACGTGATTCTAGTTTAGCATGTAGTCAACCCTAAGCTTGTAGATTACTATCTTAATTTTCAAAATCTAATACTTTTTTTAGCTTTGAATAATTTGTTTGGATATTGCATCAGTGTGATAGGTAACTTTCTTTTAATTTTACATCATTGTTTGGTAGTTATTGTGACATATACCATAATCTTACAAGATGCACATTATATTAAATTATATAAAAGCCTGAAGCTCAAACTTCTATAACTTTTAGAGTTCAATATTACTAATTTAAAATTTTGAAGGTAACAGTAGATAGTGAACATCCACCTGGCTTCAAATTTTTTTGGAATTGATTGATATAGGCAGTTTCGTTTTTTTTTTTTATCCCTGCCTCATTTTCTCTTGTAAGCAATGCTCTTTTCTGTTGCAGCTGCAAGTGTCAGATGAAGCCTTGTCATTTGTTATGAGCATGGGCTTTGGTGAACGTGATGCCAAGCGAGCATTGCGAATGAACAATCAAGATGTTGGGGGTGCCATTGATTTCCTTGCTGAGGAGAAGGCAAAGAAATTGCAAATGGAGGAGGAGGATAGTCAGAGAAGAAAGGAAATTAAGTGAGTGACACTTAATGTTTATCCACTTTATTTTCTTTGGTTTCTCTTTCTAAATAGCTTGCTCCCAGGGAACAAAGGCGGTATGGGCTGACACCCTTAAAGAAAGCAGTGGATCTAGAGAGATTGAAGGAATTGGTCTCTATTGGGTAAGGGTTATTTTTGTGTTGTATTTTGTAATGTCCATGCGTATTGTAAGGAATTGGTCTCTAAGGAAGCTACTTTGTTGGACTTATTGTAAATACCTAGGCTTATCCTTGCATTAACATGAGAAAATCACACTAGCATTGATTAAACTACCAATTTTGTCCACCAGTCCTAGAGTAATAAAATTATAAGTAATTCCTCAAGTATTATCAGGTTTTTCCTTAATACGATATATTTTACAATCGTTCAAAGATCTAGTTGAAGGGCTTTTCAATATTTGGGGACTACTTATCATAATTTCCAATACTCGAGATATATATATATAAATTTTTTTACTTTAGCAACCTTTTGGAGAGAGGATACCACTTCAGGGGTGAAATGCTGGGTTTAATCTTCTAGTATTATAAAGCTGCTTTACATAACTGAACTATGCTCATCAGAATTGACTATGCTATTCTGGCAGGTTTGAGAAGGAGCTTGCTGCTGAAGCCCTTAGAAAAAATGAAAATGATACTCAGAAAGCATTGGATGATTTGACGAATCCTGAAACTAATTCTGCTTTACAGGTTAGTATTTATCTTAACAAAATTCTGTCAATTTAAACAATATTCCTACTTACTCTCCTCAATATGAAGGTTACGATCGACTCAAGAAAAAGGAAGAGACAGATACAAGCAAGAGATTCTGTAGTTGAAAAAGTTGTGCAAATGGGTTTTGAAAGAGAAAGAGGTATACAAGTTTATCCAGATATTCAAGACAACAATGTGCTAACATTATACCTAGTTGTATGCATATATAGGGCTATTCTGATACTGCTGTGCTTCTTTGTAGTGGTTGCTGCTGCTGTGGCTGGAGGTAGTGTAGAACAAGTTTTGCAAAGACTGACAGCACAACCTGTAGCTGGACCCACATCAGCTTCCATAAACACAAATTCAACGGAAGCTCCACATGTTGGTGCAAGTTCATCTTCTCCTTTACCTAACAATGTTAATTGTGATGATCTTAACATGATGAATGAGGTTGAAGACAGTAGAACACAACGAGATGTAGAAATGGAAGATGAGCTCTCTGCTGATATTGCGAGAACAGATGCCATGGCTGATTATGACATTGAAGTTAACGTAGAAGGAGAAGCCATAAGTGAGTACATGGCCCTGGTTGAGTCGGCAAGAAGTGGTAGGACAATTGCTCCTTCCCAGTAAGAAAAAAAATTGATTTGGAATAATATTAAGCTATTTATGTAAATAGCAAGTTGATATAGATAATGAATATATTTATGCTCTTCCTTGTGGGAGCTTGATGTAAATAGTATGAGTACATATGATATGTGCTCATTCCCTGGAGTTTTTATGGATGGTAAGTTCATTTAGCATTTAAATATATACATTTACTCATTCATTCCCTGCTGTTTTTATATTAGTATTTTCCTTTTAGCATCTAAATACTTCAAAATTGTTTTCAAACTGCCAAATATATTGAGTGAAAATTCTGGAAAAGAAAGGTATACCAAGCTTAAAGCTTATGAAGTAATTATTTTATAGCTTGTTTCTTGAATCATTAGATTTGTAGGAAGCAATATATTTTTTATTTTCACTCAACACTAAAAGAATTCTTTAAATTTTTTATTTTTAGTTTTTATATTTATTATTTAATATATTTTGAAAATAATAGGGCAAGTGAGTGTTAGTTTTAATAATATAAGAGAATTGTATTTCATTTATTAAAAATACAAGGGAGGTGAAAGTTTATTATGAAAATCATTTTATTAAGAACACAAGAAAGAATCTCTATTTTAAAAATAGAGAAGTGAATGTCATATGGTATCCCATATTTTAACATAAATATTTAAATTAGTTACTTGAATAATAATATAGATAGTATATGCTTTAGTTTTAAGAATAAAATTAATTAGTCTGACAAGTTTTACAATTTTTATATTAAACTCTCGTTTTTAGCTCTAAGTTGTTCTTAATTTAGTTAATTCCTAAATATTTTTTTACATGTGCAAACAAGTCTTTAAAATTTTCTAAAATTTCAAATTGATCCATGATTGTTTTATGTTAATTACAATTTGGTCCTTAATTAATTTTATTATTTAGGATAAAACTTCTTATTATACGTTGTAATTAAATAACTTTTTAATTTAATTATTGTAAATAAATAAATAAATTTAAATTATAAGAATTTCAAAATTTTATTAATATAAAGTTTTTATTGTAAGCTAACCAACGTTTATAAATATTACCTTAAACTCTCATTTCTTACCTTTTTTCACTGTTTTGTCTTTCAACATACCAAAATTGGAGAGCAACACTTCTCGCATTCTCTTTCAAATTTTTTGCTCGTGCACTCTTCTTCTTAATCCAAAGTAATTTTCTTCTAATTCCTATCTTTTATTTCATCTTTAACTCATCAATATTTCCTAATCCCCAATTCTTATTTATTTTCTTTTAAAAAAATAGTCACTTTTAAAACTCTCCATTTTCACTTCTCTTGTTGATTAAAACTTCTTTAAGGGAGGTAGAGTCGAATCATTTGCTGAATCATTTTTTTTAAACTACCTTCTTTCAACCATACTAATGTGTTGCTTTTCTTAAATTTCTAACACAAAAAACAAGATAATTAGATATGAAAACATATATTTTGATTTAAAAAATACCTAATGGAATTTTTTTAGAGAAGTTATTATGATTTAAATAAGTTTTCTTTTGAACTTTCGAAACTATTTTATTTTGTTCACTTCCTCTATGAATTTTATATGTCAAATCTAAGTTTATAAATGGACTCCTTGAATATGAAAACCTAGATCTTAATCAATGTTTGTAAACAGAGTTTAGAGTAAAACAATTTTTTTTAATTTTGTATAAAAAAAATTATGCCGATTTTTTTGCATCAAAATTCTATTTTGAGTTTTAATACATCAATTCTTTTTTTTTTATTGAACTATAATGTATGGATGATGAAAGTGTAAAATTGCTAAAATTGTTATATTAAATAAATTGAATTTGACAATTTTGGGGTGAGTTTGGAGATACTTGATTCTTGCTGTGTTTGAAAAATGATACAATTATATTTGTGATTGTTTTTATGTTCTTTATAGATGTTAGAAAAGTCTGAAATACAATCATTATAATGTAAGATTTTCTTTATGAAAGAGCATTGCTAAAGAAGGATAGTGGATTTGTGAAGATTGTAATTTTAGTGTTATTCACAATCATTAAATTCACATGACCTTAAATTCATTTATGATCTATGTAATATACCTTTTAGTTAAAGGAATTATGATTCACAATATGTGAGATATAAACACTAACCATAATTATTGATACATGTGTAAGACCTTTATGATCCAATAATATCATGTCCACATAAGTTAGGGGGTCATAGAATGCTTAGAGTATAGGGATTACTATGATTATAGTGTCTCACGTGCTGTTGTTAATTATACGTGATCAATATCATTAATATATGCATGATAAATTATGTATCAGTTGAATGCAATATTATGAATTATGTGTTAAATGCATCATACAATATAAATTGATTTTAAAGTTTGTACCAATGATTATAGTGTTACTATTTTACTACATACAACTACTTCATTATTAGTTATGATATGCTGAATCTTGTTGAATATTGTTGTTACAATAATATATATTTTTATGGATGGTTATTTTATAGGAAAAGTTTAGTCTTATTATACATGTGATAAAAATGTTATTTCTATATAACTGAGCTTGCTTTTAAAAAGTTTTGTATAAAATTAATGAAATAGTGTGTTAGAAAGAGATTAACTTGGATACTAGCATGAAAGTATTTAATGGAATACATGCACTACAAGAAATATGGTATTTAATAGAGGTTATTATTTAACAGGGGTTGTATTTAATATCCAGATTTTACACACCTAAATCGACGGGAAATAATATAAGTTGTTATGGGAAATATGAATGAATGCAAACACTCAAGTATTTATGTTCTCCCCAAAAACTCACATAATCCGTAGTGTAAACTCGTTGACTAATTAAACCAATCAATTGCATTGAAACTTAAATAATGGTGAGCGCCTGTCCATGGTTTGATGCCTCTGCCTATCATTTAGATTAGTCATCAATTCCTACAATTTTACTCTAGTGGAATTCCATTTGATGTGGCCAACTCAGATGCTCATTTTTGTTCCCAATTCATTTTCTTAACACCACCAGTTTTTAGCATGGGAAATGAAATGTGAAAGACTTGGACCAAAGGAGATAATATGTTTTCATTTAGTCAAAATTAAAGTAGGATAGAAATGACTACATACTAATGGACACATGCTTCTAATTCAAAGAATGTTATACATGAAATCTTAGTTTATTTCCTGTTAGTCTCACCTTTACAATTGATTAAACTAATCTTTAAATCATAAATTTATGATATAATCATATTGCGATGTTGTTGGCATTGGGTTTCGTTGAAAAGGCCATTATAAAAAATAACCTCGGAATACAACACATGTAATGGTGGGTGAAGGATGCGAGAAGATTAAAGGTGATGGGCAAAGTGAGGAGAAAGAAGAAAAAGAAATAAAAAAGAGAGAAATTTTGACCAACAATCTGAATTGGAACAAAAACCTAATTTCGTAAAACTTTGTGGGAGACATGACACAGTCTCCCCACCTAGCCTGAGGCTAATAGAAAATACATGTTCTTTTACTGTAGACAATACATGCCATTATCTTTCACTATGGTGTTTACTGTACATTTACATCATTATTCTAATTCCGAGTCATTATTTTCTGAATCTGTGACCATAACAATGTCCGTATTTTTGTTTTCTTGTCTCACTTTGGCATCCACGTAATTCTTTGGGAGAACATTACAGTCGATGGTGTGCCATACTGGTATCTCCTCTTGAAACAATCTGCAGAGACATTAATACCATAAAACTTAGTTATTGTGGTGAAACAAAAACTTCCAAGAAAGATGCAGAGAGGACTTACGGGTGCTTGCATAGCATTGGACATTGCACTGTAAGTGCATACTTGCAAGTGGAAATCTCTGTTATTGAACTAATCATTGCTCTGGGTTCGGAGCAAACAAACCTCACCTAAATAAAAATATGAAATCAATATGATGAGGGAAAGAAGAAAAAGAGCCAGATTTCTACAATATCATACCTCAGTCTCTCGTGGCCTATTTGTAAGATCACACATGGTTCCATTAGTATACTGATGAGCATGATACCTGAAAGAATATTATATAATTAAGTATTTGTCAGGAACCAATAATTAAAAAAAGAAAGAAAAGAAAGTGATAGAATGAAAAGAACAAGAAATAAGAGAGGACTCTCTCCTCCAAGGATTTCCCCTTCATAAAGAATTTCCCCTTTCAATTTACAAAATGAACAACCTATTCTCCTATTCTTCTTACCCTATTTATATCTAACTAACACCTGAAGTAACTAACTACATCATTAATATTCTAACTATCATAAATAACTTCTCCTTTTCCTTCTACACTAACGGTATTTGTTTTGATCATTCAATCATTAACAGCATATATCACGTTAAACCATTTCTCCAAGTTAATCAAATTCTTGCACTTAGAAAGCCATCGATAAGGTACCCCACCTTTGAGATGCATCTTTTGAACGGGGATCCTTCAATGTAGAAATGTCAGAAAGATTTTGGTTAAATGCAGCTGTAGCCTCCGGATCATACTCTCCCAGGACAAACCCCTGGACAATCTGTGACAAGGAAAAGTTTCCACTGATTATGATACATGAATATATATGATTTTACAAGTTTCTAATAATATTATAATAAAACAAATTATGGTTATTCAGTTGAACCTGCTAAAAAGAACTTCAATATAATTGATGGACCAAAAGATAGGTGTTCTGAATGTGGGATTTATATCAATGACTGAATTCTACTATGATACTATCAATAATCACGGCAAGGAAATCTTAACAAGGATGGTAGCAAGAAATTCGGATCCTCTCCTTTAACACAGTAACAAGAGTGTCCTATTAGGAAAAATAAAGATATAAACTTTATTATCAAGTGACCAACTCTGCTTTATGTTGGGGTCCATAAATTTCATACAAATGCACTGTATGTCCCTGTCATTTGTAATAAAATCGTAAAACAAATCATTAGCCATTAGTTTAGAGAATCAAAATCCAGTGAGTGGAAACAATTGAATTTTATTAAAAAATTTGAAGCTCAAAACTTAAGGAAATATAAAGATCGTTAATCACACTGTAAACTAACCCAACTCCAAAAAAAAAAGCAGAAGTCTAAGATAAAACGGTATTTCAGTTGAATTAGTATGAATTTAGTTCCCCAAACAAATCCATCACTTTGAACTACTAAAGATATACGAAGACCATAAAGGGCCAAATCTTAATGTAATCAAGAGGATACCTTATCGTCTTCCAAATGTAGTTGCCGCAACTTCTTTTGATAGCAAAATTCATATGACCACCAACCTTCTTGCTGCACATTCAAATAGATAGTGTAAGAAAATGATATATAATAGAGGTCATATGTTTCAAAAAGACTCATGAAAAAACAAACAATCAGATCACAAACTTCATGAATAGTAATTAATAAATCACCATTGGAAATAATTCAATACTAACCCTGACAAAGCATGGACCCTTTAATGCTTCTAGCAGTTCATCTGGTGTCTTCTGCTTAATCCTTTTCTCAGTTTCGACAATCATACTGCTAACATTGTGCTGGATAACAGGCTTTCCACTTTTTTCCTTTTCCACTTTAGGTAAGTAACAGATAAATCTCTGTCCATTTTTATCTGGTATGGTTATAGATTCCTGGTCATCATCCTGCAAATGAAATATCACGAGTTCTTATGAGTAGTGTGATCACACATATGAGCATACACATCACTTGATCCTAGAAAAGAAAAAGATCCAGTTATGTCTAGAGGTTTAGAAAGGAACTTAAAAGGTCCAGTATCATTAAAAGGCCACTCCCATCAATCGTGAGCTACTGAGTTGTCAGTCAACAGTAGTTAAACTATTTAAGGTCTGTGTACATTAGATTGTTATAGAATTTATTTTCAAAGAATGGAGATTGAAATAGCCAGTCGGAATAATTGATGTTTAAAATAATTAAATTGTATTTGGGAATGATATTTTGAAAGTGAGTTTAGACCTTAGAAGAACTTAATTGTTCGGATGGAAAGGTAGAATCACTTACGAACAGTAAATATAGATATGTTTTTAAAAATTTCGTGGGTTCAACACTCAATCAATTATACTCACCTTGCAAGCTGAAATATGCGCTTTGCAAGTTGAGCAGTAAATATAGATATGTTTTAAAAAATTTCGTGGTTCAACACTCCATCAATTATACTCACTTGCAAGCTGAAATATTCGCTTTCAAAGAACTCATACCATGCAATTAGATCCTAACATTTTCTCAAAACAAAATTCATTTCATCCACCTAAAAAGTTAACCAAACACGAAGCACAATAGTTCAAAGCATTTTTTGTTTATCACAAATGGATATTTGCGGTAAAACAAACAGAATGTTTAAATCCTAATCTATCAAAAGGAACCAGGCACTCTTATTTCCAATCTCTTAGATATCATCAATACAACACCTCCGTTAAATTTGTACAGCCATAGTACTTTCGATTCAGAACCAGCATTAGTAAAAAACGAAATAAATTTGAATGTCCAAGAGACACACAATACTTATCCATGTATGAGTCCAAACTCCGTGAAAACCTCTACTTCCTTTCCCAAACCAAGGGACAGGGGTGAGTGATATATTCAACATTCGAGCTAAACGCTATTTTAAAATGCAATTTAACAACAATAAAAGCAGTGCGCAAAAATCATCATAACATCAATAAACATCGAGAAACTCACAGGGATAAATGGGGAATCTAGGGGATGGAATTCGATATTGTATTTAGGTTCACGAGAGCGGCCACTGCCACCGGCACCGGCACCGGCAGTACCAAATATGCTACCTGTTAAGACAACAAGAAAGAAAAATAAATTAATAGGAAAACCTAATAGCATTAAGATTTTGAAATCAGAATAATTGAATTTGAAACCCTAAGAAACAAGAGAGAAAGAAACGATGATGACCGATATGAGCAGGGAAGATTTGTTCGGAGGCATAGGCGATAGAGAAGAGAAGGAAGAACAGAAAGAGTGGCCTCATCATCTCCTTTAACCTCACTGCTCACAACACCCACTTCCGACGTCGATGTGCGCTGAACGTTTAAGTTCGAACCAAGATCGCCAGATGCCACACCCTCCAGTCTATTCACCAATCCACGATTGCCACGTCATATAACGGCCTGTTAATTTACACTCAAATATTTCCTCTGAAATAATTATTACAATTTCTGTTCACTTGCTTTTAATATTATTCCATGTAAATAATAACTTTTAAATTATTTCCATTCTTTGATTTCTATCGTACCTATAAATAAAATATTTTTATATGATAAAAATATATAAATTATTTTATTTTATTTTTTATGTTTTTTATCAATTATCTATTTTGAGTTTTTATTTACAAATATTAATAAAAATAGTACATATTTTTTAATACAAATTCTTGAGGTTAATTGTGATAATTTTACTTCCAAAATTTCTTTTTACATCTTAATATTTCCATTTTGTTTAGATTTTAGAGTTTATTTTTAATCAAATTCTATATTGTATTATTACTTTTACAATAATAATAATAATAATAATAATAATAAATTATCAGAATAAAAGGTCTCTTTATGAAACATAAAATAAAATTATGTAAATTCTGGTTTAATAGAATCACATGTTAACTTGATTTTTTTTTTAATATTATCCTAATACGAAATATGAATATGGTCACTAATTTAAATTATTTTAACATATTTATGGCTGACTTATTATTCTTATTTGTATAGTATCGAATTTGAATCTTATGAAAGTCAAACTTTTGTCATTGTGAATTTACAGGAAAGAATTATTTATTATAAATATTAGATGTAGAAATATATTTAGATATAATAGGGGTTAAAGATGTAGTTAAAGAAGAAAATAAAATATTTAAGCAAAGTTAGGATTAATTTTATGTTGTTGTTTTTTTTTAAATTGAATATTTTATTGTTAAAAAATCTCTTATTATTCTTTTGAGATACGATGAATTATTTTTATAAATGATTGGATATATTTAGGATTGTAGGATTTTAAAATTATGAATTAATATAATTTTCTAACGTTTAGAATTTCATCAGTAAAAGAAATGTTGATAAAGATTTTTTTTTCATGTTATTAATTTATTCTTAAAATAATTATATTGTGAAAAAGATTTCAAAAATATTTTAAATCAATTTTGTGTTATCTTGTGATTAAACAAAATAATGAGTTGTATAATAAAAAATTATAAACTTGTCCGACTTTTTTTTTTCATTTCCAAATATAATATAATAACATGGTTTTTAAGATAATCTTCGTCAGAATGTAGTTTTAGTCATGGTTGTATAACCAACCTCATGGGTATTCTAATACTCTCAATTTCGGAACTAATAAATAATAAAATATCTGAACATTATAATAAATGTGTTAGATCACTTAATTCACCTTAGTTAAAAGATATAATTAGTATAATTGTACGACGTTAAATAAAAGTCAAAATCATGAATCTTAGCTCGGGGTTAACTAATTTAAGATTAGAAAGAAGATTTTTTTAGTAAGATCATAATTTCATCAAATTAGATAAAATAATGAAGGAAACATTTAACATATATACCTTTATTAATAAGATAAAATATTTTAATTTCTCCATTCATATAATTGTGTTTTATCTAATTCATTAATTATTTTGTTACAAAAGAAAGTAATAATAACAACTAATAAGGAAGAAATTCTCCATTAGGAAACATATGTTAGGAACAAGACAATAATAAAGGAAAGAATAAGGAGAGAAAAATAAATGACACAAGAATTTTAACGTGGTTCGGCTAAAATATGTATGCCTACGTCCACGACTACACTAGGAAGTATTTTTATTTCGTGTATATCTCAAACTTTACATAGGGTTGCTTATATAACAAAATAGAGAACCTCATCTCACAATCCTAATCGATGTGGGACTAAATCAAGCACCATAATACTAACAATTCTCCCACTTGGAGTTTGATTTACGTTACCACCTAGTGTAGTGCCTTCATCATCAATTTGCTCGAAGGCCAGCTGAGGCAATGCAAAGTCTCAACTTAGTTGTTGTAACAGTCTTGGTCAACATATCACGGGATTCTCTCGCACCTGGAATCTTCAACAAACTCAAGTCTCCATCATTTATCGTGTTTCGATAAAATGATACTTCAATTCAATGTGCTTACATCTCGGAATGAAGGATTGGATTTTTAGCAAGACAAATAGCACTTTGACTCGTCACTAAACAACGGAGAACCATCTTGTTCTCTTCCTAATTCTTTTAGAAGGTTCTTCAACCATATCATCTCCTTCGTCGCTTCCGAGATAGCTACATACTCGCTTCAGTGGTTGAGAGAGAGACCCTTCCTTGAAGTTTAGACTTCCAACCGATAGTCGTACCACCCAATGTAAAAATATAACCTCGTTGTGCTCTTTCTACCGTCAAGATCACCTCCCAAGTCCGCATCGAAAACCCCCGTAAAATGAGATTACTTCTCTTGAAAGACAAATGCATCTTTGAAGTGCCTTTCAAATATCCGAATATCCACTTCACTCCTTCCCAATGCTCCTTTCCGGATTTGATAGAAATCCGCTCACAACTCCCACTCGCATGTGCTATGTCCGGTCCGGTGCAAACCATAGCATACATCAAGCTTCCTACCGCAGATGCATATGGAACTTTAGACATGTGACTTTCTTCTTCTTCTGTTTGAGAAGATTGCCTCTTTGAAAACTTTAAGTGAGTTCCCAAAGGTGTATTCCTGGTTTTAGCATTCCCAACATTGAATCTGCTAAGCAATTTTTCTATATATTTTTCTTGAGATAAGTTCAAAATACCTTTATCTCTATCTCTGGAGATTCTCATACCAAGAATTTGCTTGGCTGGACCAAGATCCTTCATTTCAAAGCTCTCCGACAATTGTTTCTTCAACTTGTCAATTTCTCGCCATATTAGCTCCAACAATCAACATGTCGTCAACATATAAGGCAAGAATGATATAGCTATCAACATATTTCTTCACATAACAACAGTGATCTTCTTCACATCTCGCGAAATCCCGAGTTTCTCATAAACTCATTAAACTTCTTGTACCATTGTCTCGGCGCTTGTTTTAATCCGTACAAACTTTTATGAAGCTTGCATACAAGATTTTCTCCGCCTTGTACTTCAAAACCTTTTGGTTGTGTCATAAAAATTTCCTCTTCAAGATCCCCATGTAAGAATGCAGCTTTGACATCTAACCGCTCCAAATGAAGATTTTCTGCAGCTACTATACTCAAGATAACTCTGATGGTAGTCATCTTGACAACAGGAGAGAAAATTTCGTGAAGTCAATTCCTTGTCTTTGTTGGAACCCTTTCACTACGAGTCTAGCCTTATATCTTTTGCCGCCATCCGGTTCTTCTTTCAACCTATAGACCCACCTGTTTTGCAAAACTTTCTTTCCTTCTCGGTAGCTTGGTTAAAGACCATGTTTTATTCTTCTGAAGGGACTTTATCTCATCTTCCATTGCTAGCTCCCACTTAATAGATTCATCTCCCCGCATAGCCTCGAAGAAATGCTCCGGCTCACCAAGATCGATCAACAACAAATAATGCAATGAAGGGGAATACCTTTGTGGTGCTACAATTGTTCTGCTAGATCTTCTAACCAAGATTTCAGGAGTTGCCGACTCTACTATTTGTTCGAGTTCTGTCTCGTGCTCGACATAGGCTCTACTTGTATATTCTCGCCTTCTGTTGACTACATCACTTTCTGAAATTTCTTCTAATGATACTTGCTCTAGTCGTTTATTTACATTTGCAGATTCTCGCAATCCCGTCTCTATAGAACATGTTTTCATTAAAAGTAACATTTCTACTTCGATAATTTTCTTGTTTTGGTCATCCCAAAACCCGTAGCCAAACATGTCAGATCCATAACCAATGAAATAACAACGTTTTGCCTTAGGGTCCAATTTATCTCTACTATTAGAGTCTAACATAACATATGAAGCACAACCAAAAACTTTCGGATGTGAAAGATTTACCTCTTTTCCGCACCATACTTCTTCGTGTAACTTATAGTCTAAAGGAACTGATGGTCCTCTCGTTTATGAGATAGGTCGCTGTGTTTATTGCATCCGCCCAAAATACCTTGGGTAATCCTGATCGGATTCTCATACATCTTGCTCTCTCATTCAAGGTTCTGCTTCATTCTTTCGCCACACCGTTTTGTTCTCGTGTTCCTGGAACTGCCTTGATCATTCTGATCCCATTCTCTCGAACAAAACTCCTTGAATTGACTACTCGTCATATTCTCCACCATTATCGACTTCAAACATTTGACCTTTAAACCCGTTTGAGTCTCAACCTCCTTTTTCCACCTTTTAAACACAGAAAACACATCGATTTATTTTTAAGAAAATAAACCCATACCTTTCTTGTAGAGTCATCAATGAAGGTTACATAATATTGTGAACCTCCAAGGGATTTCACCGAAGCCGGCCCCCAAACATCTCGTATGCACTAGTTCTAGTCTTTCAACTTTAGACGACTTACTTGTTTTTGAGAAGCTAACCTTTTTCTCGCTTTCCAAAGATACAATGTTCGCAAGGTCCAACGTCAACATGCTTCACGTTAGGTATTTTACCTTTTGATATCATGAGCTTCATTCCTTTCTCACTCATATGCCCAAGCCTCGATGCCATAAGGAGGAATTGTTGCCAACTTCTGCAACTGATATCATATCCTCATCTGCAATCATGTAGAGAGATCCTTGCTTCTTTCCACGAGCGCTTACCACTAGGCTATAGCTTTTGGCCTAGTGGTAAGCGCTCGATCCTAACAACATACACTATTGAAAAACACTATCAAACCCAAAAATAATTAATTTAAAAAAAAATGTGATAATATATTTATAAATAAGGGATGAAATTTTTACATCGACACTTGTGAGGTCTGATGCAAAAGTCGCTCTTTAATCTCACTCAAAGTTTTTTTTTTCCTTCCGCGTGGAGTTTTTGAATAATAACAATGACAACGATCATTCCAACTCATTGTAAAGTATATTTCGACCATAATGAATGACAAATACAATATATATATATATATATATATATATATATATATATATATATATATATATATACATTTTGTCTCATTTGTGGTGGTTAATGTTTCTCTTTTATTGAATTCAGTTTTTTATATATTTGAAGTTGGTGTTCTATGTCTCCTCTTTTATGTTTAAATTGAAACCGTGATTATTTTTTAGGATCTCAATCATGTTATTGCATCAATATTTTCACTCGATTATTATTGAAATTGAACTGTTGTAGTTTGTGATTATTCATTTATTAGTTTAAGTGTATTTGCGGTTTATACACTGCCCTCTTATGTTTTCACGGTTTAGTTGTTTGAATCTCATGTTTTTTGTTGTTTATATATTAATTTTCTGTTAAAATATGAATTTGTGTTTGAATATCTAGGAACGACGAAAAATTATAATATAAGTAGGTATGGATCGAAGTTAGATGAATACATATCGTATCAGTGAATAGTACGAAAAGAGAGTTGAGAAATTTTTGAAATTTGTTCGTGAAAATGGAAAATCTATCAAATTAACGTATTATTATCCATGTGTTCGTTATTTAAATTAAATTCATCAAGAACTTTGGGATATACAAGATCACTTGTTCGTCATAAACTTAGGGATATACGTGAAAAACTTATTACAGGGGTAACTTTATTTTTTTATTAATTATATTTATAAAGTATAAATATATATTAAATAATATCTAACTTTATTTCAATTAGAATGGTGTCTAGAACTAATGTTCTAAGTGGAAGACTCATAACAATGAATTTACACTTCATTTATCCTAAGGTTAGAAATTCATATATATAAATAAACACCATATTTATTGTTTGTATTTAAATTTTGAAAATAACATTATGTTTTGTTTCTCAGTTCGGTGTAATAAGCATACAAAGTCTTTTGAATGTGATTACTATATGATATATTAGATAAGAACTATAGTTTGTACGAGTATAATTGATTCTTGTATAAGAATCATACTTTTAACATAAATTATATTTACCTTTATGTGTATTGCATGATAACAAGAACCAAATTAATGTTTCATGTATTTCAAAATCTATTTTCACTATAAAAAAATGATATTAGACAAATTAGAGAGCAATGAACAATATTTTTTGTTCAACATTTATAGTACTTAGTTTGTATGTTATTATTTATATTATATTATATTGTATTATGTAGTTTAATATTTAGGTAACTTAGTTTTTGTACTAGTATAGTTTATGTATTAGTTCAACTTTATAATGTTTGACTCCTAAGAAGTTGACTATTTGTACAAGTTTAACTTTTATAGTTTATATTATATTATATTGTTGTATTTTTGAATTATTATTTATTGAAAATCTAGAATCTGAACTATCCGTAATTAATATATGTTTATAGGTTTTATTTATAAGACAAAAAACACTTAATATTAATAAAAAAAAGACGAAATTTACGTCAAGTGATATATCAGACCAAATCATAACAAATATAAATTTATGTTGGATATAATGTAAATTTTGTCATTTTTTTAAACTCTTTTTACATTTGTTTTATGCTTTTTCTAATATAAATTGACATTAATATTAACATTAATTCTTCATGTAGCACATGGATTATTATATTTGATGTAAATTTATGTATCTTATATTAATAGGAGACTCAAAAATAACATTTATCAAAATCTCAAATTTGTGTTTAAGGTAAAAATACGAAAATAACATTTTTCAATATCAGTGATGATCAATAAAGAGAAATATTTTATCTTTTTTGCACACTTATGATTTACAATCAAAATTTATGCCAGGAAACTATTTGACTCTGTTTTTTTTTTTATTATTTATTGATTCATGTTATCATGAGTAAAAGATAATGGAATATAATTGCTTTTAAAAAATATACATTTTCCATTTTTTTTCTTGATTGGATCCATTTGGATAATGTAATCACGAGTCAATTAATGTAACATTGTATCATGTTTTTGTTTCATCACTCCTTGTTATTGGGAATAGACATTTTACTTTTTTCCCAATCACAACCATACACACGGCATGATTAAGTATCAAATGAAAGTTTTACATTACGAACTAAAGATTATAAATAGGACTCTTTTTCATATTATCAATGACGACAAAAAGAAAAAGAAATAAAGATAACTTTTTTCTATATTGCTTTTGCTTCTCTTGTTTAAATTATAAACGAATCAAATATTTTTTTCAATTAACTGAAGTTACTTGCAGGTGAGGGGGTCAATTACAAGTTTTTTTAATAATTTTAAATGAAAGAATGATGTTTAAAATTACGTTTTTTACTTGGAGACATGAGGGGGAATAAGAAGGTGGTGGAATTATTTAACCTTGATACTTCAATTCACAGAATCACATTCAATTCCTGACTCGTATCTATAGTTTAAGTAGGAACCTCTTAAATTGTCACTTATAAAAGTTTTAATGTTTCTTATTACACATATTCTATTTTAAACTTTTTGACAATTATTAATATAATTATTTATATTCATCTTCATAATTTATTTCTTAAATATAAATTGTAATGAATAGTTTTCAATTAACAAGAATGAAATGGAAGTTTTTAGTAATAAATAATCTTATGCAAGAAAGATATTTTCAAAAATAAACTTATTTACATAATAATTTATAATAGATTTAGGAACATCACATATAGGATTATGAAAGAATTTATAAAAGTAACTTTTTTTTATTAAAAGTGAAAAAATAATATGAAAAAAAGTGATAAAAGTAATTTATCTTTTTTTTTTCATATACTAAACTAGTTAAACTTTACTAAATTCACTTACAAATGTAGAGAAAAAAAGAAATTTACATTTTTCTTATACTAAAAAATTGACCAACTAGATATGGAACTGTTGAGAAATGAAATTGTATTGCATTTTATGATTAGAAAAATATTTTACATTTTGATATTATTAGATTTTGTATAAATTTTTTAAGGTAATAAATATTTTACCTTTTATTATAATATTTATTTATTTATATTAATATTCAAAGTAAACGATAACATAAATTAATGAAATAATATTTTTTTATTTATTAATGTTTATAAACTAACATATAAAAAAATATTTTGGTCTTGAAAAAAAAAAACAATCTTTAGAGTACTTTAACTCGTACATTTATTTTATTTTTCATTCTTCCAACCCTAAATTTTGCAATCAGATTTTCCCCAAAAATCATCAACTGTTGAGCACCTTTTTTTCCGCGGAGTGTGGAACTAATTCCCAATATTTCACGCATAGCCATTTGCTTTTTAGGTTTATCCAAAGCACACATACTTCAATTCATGTTTTAATAATTTTTCAATTATATCTTACTTTTCTTTTCCTTGATTGACTTTAGATAGGTGACAAATGGAGAATGAATGTGACAATAGATGGATCATATATATAAAAATATGTACTATAAAAATACGATGATACACTTTTTTGAGACCAACTACCATGAATGAATGACCTTTCATCATAGATTGCCAAAATACAAAATAAAAAAACTAACAAACTAATGGATATGGCAAAAAGGTCAACATGTATGTGCCACTTCACACTAAGATTGTCCAAAAGCAAAGATTCATTAATTCACTATAAAATTTGCATGATGGGACCATCAACAATTTTTTTTTTTTTTCTTCAAGTATTTAGAGAATTAATAAGAGAGTGACAGAAAATTAAGTTTTTTTTTTTTCCAGCGACATTGCATTGCAAATTTTCGGTTCAGACAAGAAATTCGGCATTATCTGATCTTTTTCTTTTTTTTTCTCCTTCCCATTTGTGGCGTTTACGTCAAGGATTAGAAAGAAAATCTAATACTTTTCCGAAAGGACGAACGAACAACGTAACGATAACATGGTTTGGCTTTCTTCCATTCCTTGCATTTCAGACTTTCTCGCTCTCTCTTGGTGTCTTGATTTCCTTCCCAAAGTTTGAACCTTTTCCCCTGAATTTCTCACCCAGATAAGATTTTCTTTGTTGCCAAATTCTGGGTCGTTTTCTCTGTCTTCAATCGTTTTCTGTGATAAAACCAAAGGGAAATTTCCTTCTCCTACAAATCTGAGTTGGGATGTCCTTGTCCCCTCTCTGAGTTGGGATTTGTATCAGCAGAAACAAATCCTGATTTGGAGAGAAGGTTGGTGCATTTGTATTCCCTGAATCCAAGCCAATATGGCAAGAGGGTAACCGAGTTGATTCTTCAGTAATTTGAACTTTGAGGTTTCGAGCTTGTTTCCTGATGGCTGCTGCCACTGTTATATATAATATATATACAGCTAGTTATCTAGGTTATGTTGTTCTTGTATCAATCTGACTGTTGTGTCTTTTCCATTATTTCCTTCTGCCATGTTCATAGGTTTGTGTGAAGCTCTTTCCTATTAAATTGTCTTTTTCTTCGAGGAGGGCTTTGCGTTTGGTTTTAGATTGGTTATCTTGTGTGTGCAATTGATTCATTGAAAAGAAAAATCTCTTTTTCTTATGTTGTTGAGTGGATTGAACTGTTGTGGACTAGGAGGAGTGGTAACTTTGAATAATTGTTGGGTTCAAAATGGGGAAGAACAAGACGCAGGTGGGAGAAACGAGCGAAGATAGAGGAGATGGTAAGAAAGCTGAAGATAATAGGCCCAGTTCATATGACAATGATAACTTAATGTTTATATCAATGGCTCAAGAGTTGAAGGATGAAGGGAACAAGCTGTTCCAGAAGCGGGATGTTAAAGGGGCTTTGGTAAAATATGAGAAGGCCCTCCAATTGCTTCCAAGAAATCATGTAGATATTTCTTATCTGAGGAGTAACATGGCTGCGTGCTACATGCAGATGGGTCTCCGTGAGTATCCTAGAGCGATCAATGAATGCAATTTGGCTCTTGAAGTATCACCAAGGTATAGTAAAGCTCTGATGAAGAGGGCAAGGTGCTATGAAGCTTTAAATAGGCTGGATTTCGCCCTGAGAGATGTTAGTACTGTCTTAAAGATAGAGCCAAATAATGTCATGGCATTAGAGGTCTCGGATAAGGTGAAGCATGCTCTTGAAGATCGGGGATTAGTAGTAAATAATGCAGAAATTGAGTTGCCTCCAGATTATGTTGAACCTCCTACTATGCCTCTGGCAAAAGTAGTGAAAGAAAAGACTCACAAGAAGAAGAAAAAGAAAGAGAAGGTGAAGCCTCCTGATAAAATTGAAGAGAAGCAAGCTGAGGAGAAATTACAAGAGAAGAAAGCTGACGACAGCAGTGTAGTGAAGAAGGCCGAGGACAGTCGGAAAGAGAAGAAGGCTAATAAGTCTAAAAAGAAGAAGGCCAAGGAAAAAAATGTTGGGAAAAAGGACGATGATGTTAAGGAAGTTATTGAGGAAAAAAGTAATTGTAGAAGTGAAGATATACCTAAGAAAGCAGCAAAACTTATTTTTGGTGAGGACATAAGATGGGCTGAATTACCAGTTAATTGCAGCCTCTTTCAGCTAAGGGAAGTCATTTGTGATCGTTTCCCTAGACTAGGAGCAGTTGTTGTCAAATATAGGGACCAAGAGGGTGATCTGCTCACTATCACTTCTGATGAAGAATTAAGGTGGGCTGAAACAGGATCAGAGGGTTCTATTCGGCTGTACATAGTGGAAGTTAATCCTGAACATGATCCATTCTTTAGGAGGCTTAATGCAAATAATGGAGAAAAGGTTAGCATTGCTAGTTCTCCTGTGAATGGGTCTGTGGTGAAAGCAAAGGACATTATTCACTCATCTTGCATTGAGGATTGGATAATTCAGTTTGCACAACTGTTCAAGAATCATGTTGGGTTGGAATCTGACGGATATTTAGATTTTCATGAATTTGGTATGAAACTCTATTCAGAGGCTGTGGAGGAGACAATTACAACTGAGGAAGCTCAAGTCGCATTTGATGTTGCTGAAAGTAAGTTCCAAGAGATGGCGGCTCTAGCATTGTTCAACTGGGGAAATGTGCATATCTCCAGGGCAAGGAAGAAAGTGTATTTTACTGGAGATTCTTCTAAGGAGCATATGCATGAACAAATAAAAAGTTTGTTTAAATGGGCGCAAGAAGAATATGAAATAGCTGGGGATAAGTATGAAACAGCTATTGAAATTAAACCAGATTTTTATGAAGGCTTCCTGGCACTAGGCCTGGTGCTGTTTGAGCAAGCAAAACTTTCTTGGAATTATGCTCTCTGTTCTAAGGTAGATTTCTCTACATGGCCTGCTACTGAGGTTCTTCAGCTTTACAATAGTGCCGAGTATAGTGTGGAGAAAGGAATGCTTATATGGGAAGAATCAGGAGAGAAGCACTTGCGGGAAGGTTACCGTCACAAGGATATTTTATTACATTTGCAGAACCTGGGGTTGGAGAAGCTATTCAAAAATATGTCAGCAGATGAAATTTCTACACAGGTGGAAAATACGAGGTCTCAAATAAATCTTCTGTGGGGTACCATACTATATGAATGCTCGACAGTGGAATTCAAATTAGGCCTGCCAGAATGGAATGAATGTCTGGAAGTTGCAGCTGAGAAGTTTCAACTTGCTGGAGCTTCTGCAACAGATATAGCTGCAATGTTGAAGAACCACTGTTCAAATAACAATGTTGTAGATGGTACATTTTCTTTCCTAGTTAGAAAAATTATAGCCGAACAGATACGTATTCACATATACTTACAGCTTTGCCAACAGGTCTTGAATTTAAAGTTGATGAAATAGTCCAAGGATGGAATGAGATGTACAAAGCTAAAATGTTGCAGAAAGGTGTTCCATCATTTCGTTTGGAGCCCTTGTTTAGAAGAAGAATATCTAAAATTTACCATGCCTTTGAGCTTGTATGAGTTGCATCTTTTTCTGCAAGTTGAAGAATAACAGAGCCAACACCCACATGGGTTACTTCTGTGCCTGAAATGCTATTGTCATCATGAAGGTAACTGAGAGTCCTATGTTATTTCTTTTCTTTAAGTAGTATTAATTATCTCTTTTTATTAATCTACACGTTTTCTTCTGTGTACATTTCTGCGTAATGAGATCCTAGGTGCATCTTGCAGAAGTATCGTACAGATTTGAGCATTGATAAGTAACTGTAGAATATTGGTGTTAGATTTAGTAGGCAAAAATTAATGTCCTTATGATCATTGCAGTAAATCAAGTAGAGAATTATACTTTAAGTTAGTTATTGATTTGCACCTTGATTGATTGTAATTATGCTAAAAGTAAGCGATCATGCACTGCCTAGAAAATCACAATTTCTTTAGGACACTGTTTTTACATTTACTATCTGCATTCTAATTCTTAATGAAGTTTTCTGATTGATTATTAATATGTAATGTGTTAAAATTTTGTTAATTCTTGCTTATCTTTTAGAATCACTTTGCAATCTATTTTAAAATAAACAAGCTGCTCTGCATATGCCCTTATACCCTTTCTTCATATATAGAAGAGGTTTGCATATGAAGTTCCTTGCAAGGACTTCAACAGTTCAATAAAAGCTTAAGTCTTTATGATTTTTGAACTAATACACAAACCCCATAACTCAATAAAGGATTTTAGATTTCTATATCTTACACCAGAGGAAGATTAAATGTTATCTGGGAGAACTACTTTCACAAGAATAAAACAGAATTTTATAGAAATTAACTTCTGCCAGAACTAGGTTATAAATTTACAGCCCAAGGTTACTTCTTCTGCATGGATCTTCGATAAATAATATATCAAAGAACTTGATATTCAGTTGATTCAATTGGAATTTTGGGGCAGGCTGATTTGATGAAAATGGATTTGTTTATGTGATGACATCAAGCCTTTGCTTCATCAGAGGTCAGTGTTAATTTGAAGATGAGCTACAGAGACAATTGTTCTGAGCATATATAGTTTGTATTGTAACTTTTACATTAAGGCAACTAACAAACTTTTGGAAACATCTGAATGTTCTGTAACAACAATATATACATGTGTGCAATTGGAGAGAAAGTGAAGAAGAAATTCTAGATCAAAAATTTTGACTGTGGTGAAGTACATTATGAATTTATGGACCTAATCATCTGACATTAGCAGCTTAATATTGTGATTACATGCTAAGATATTAACGTGTACATGCACCAACAATTTTCAATTGTTATTTGTGATGAATCTTTGGTACTTTTGTGATTATTCTTTCGCGTTCTTATTCTAGAAATAGATCATAAAGGTATTATGGCTACAACACATTGGGGCATTTCAAGGTTTGGAGTCTCGAAATTTTTACTTTTTTTAGTTCACTGTAGATTTTCTTCCATCAAGTTATACTTGGAGAATTGACATTATCTTATAATGACTTCTGCAAATAAAATGATTATATTTATACCACTAATATCTTCGGTGGATTTGTTTAGTTGCTGTAGTTAATTGTTCTGTTACCAAGGAATGGTATATTTTAAGTCTCTTTTGTTTTAAAGGGGGTAGGTTGAGATTGTTGGGGATGCAGAAACAAATAGCTTCTTTTGTATCCTATTTTCTTAGATGATGAGTACTAATTCTACTACTCAATAAACATGTTTTTCCATGCAACCTTTAGCTATGTCCATAATTGACACTGTTTGCTGACTTCTTTCCTTTGCTCTTTGTTCATAAATATGGATTATTATGTTTTATCTTCTTTGTTGGCTTATTTTGCAGGTTTCTTTCCCTACTTTCAGTAGTCAACACTGTAGTTATAGAAAGAAACAATCTTTCACAAGAATGTAAAAGTTTGGGAGATCCTTGACAGGTTGGGAAGATGGAGTTGCAGAAATTACCTTTTAGTTACTTTCTGCATTTGCTCACATTGCTTCCCCTTATGGTTAGATTTATAGTGGGTGGTAGAAAATTAAAGTTACACTGAAAGAAGTTGGAGAGATTTGTTTGTTTTTCCTGTTACCCTTGTTCTGTAGTTTATCCATGTGTAACCACTTGATGCATTAGTATTTCTAAATACATGAGGTTTCCTTGTACTAAATTATTCAACTTGTTGTTCATTCTACTTATAAAGTTTAAAGGAAAATGTAGCAGATTTGAATTCTCACATCTTCATAATTAATGTTTTTTACCACCTCTGACTCTGACAAACAATTCCTTCACAATAAGTTCTGATGTTTCACCTAAACATTTTCTGTCTTTTTCATGGATAGTGAAGTTCTTAATATATGCATAATTTGTAATGATTATTGGTTTGTGGTTAAGATGATTTATTAATATTGATTGACAATAAATGAGTTTCCTTTTAGGGTTTTGGGCATTTGGTACGGACTGACCTAATTGAGAGGCACTGACTAAAAAAAAGTTAAAATTATCTATTACTTTTTATTTTAAAATATTATACTTTTAACTTTTACGACAATCTATAATTTTTAATGAATAATTAGACATATTAAATAAATTAATTATATCGATGTTTTAATAGTGAATAAAAAATGCATTTATTGAAGATCAAAGTTGCTTTTAAAAAATGCTTTCAATAAATATCATTATTGTTCTCAATTCGTGTGAAATTTTTAAAATTGTAGTTATTTTGAGATGAAAACAATATTAAATATGCATGCATCAAATTCTATAAAAAAATGTTTATTTAGTAGTAATGTATCAAAGCGTTAGTAAAAATATAATTAAAAAATATTCTTTTGTTATAAAAATATTCAATGTTAATTATTTGTCATAATAAATTTCATGAATTTATAATAAAAATTGGTAAAAAAAATTATAAGAACACATATTAGTTTTGTATGTCTTAAAACACTTAGTTAACATCTATGTAATAAATAGTAATTAATCGAATTAATAAAATAATTAGTTGTAAACACAATCATTTATAAACTTAAAACAATAATATCAAATAATTTGAAAAATATTTAAAAAATCATTCAAATGTTTTCTTAAAAAATGATTATCTTCACAATAAGGATAAAGAAAAGGAAAGAAAATATGTATGTAGAAAATAAAAGAATGTCATTATATTAATCATTAAAAATGAAAAATGAAAAAAAATATTAGAAGTAGAAAACATAAAAATTATCATTCCATGATAAAAATCACAGAATAAAATTTGATACACAAGTTTGTTTAAAATAAATATTGAAAGGGTAAAACTTATATATAATATTTTTTTAATTATATTTGGAATTTTACTTCTATAATATGTGATAATATTTAATAAAACATTTTATAGTGTAAATGAACAAGGTGGTACTTAATTCTTACTAGAAAACAACATAATTGCACAATACTATTACATCTAATTTTTGTCCATAATGGAGATTGCGTAATTTGTTATAAATAATATGCTGAATTATTCATTAAATAAATAATTCAAGCTTCTAATTTTAATTATACATGATTTTAAAGAAAAAAAAATAGAACTATAAAGGTGGGTATATATTTTTTTCCCATACATTTTATTAATATATTTTAAAATTTTGACAAAATAACATGTGGTCAATGCAGCTTTTAGTTAAAATTCATTTTAGCTAGTCAAACATGTAATGCTTGAAATCCAATAAGTTTCTTGGATCAAATGAGGCAAAAAAAATTCCTGATTTTAACATCCAAACTCTATATATATTACATATCACTGTGAACATTCCTTTTCTTCTTCCACTTATTGGAAATTTTGTATGATGGGGTTAGGGTTTCTCTCATCAATTTTAAAATTAGTAGTGATGCACAACCATCTAACCAAAGTTGGAACCCTAGGTAGAAGTTTGGGGCCGTCATTTTCCCTCCAATCCAAGCTATTCTCATTTGTTTGACCAAATCATGAGCATGCATGGGTAACATAATCAACAATATGATTTTTTTTTTGCTTTTTCTCTAGTTAAAAATGGAACAACAATATTTAATATATAACAAACATTATTAGCAACACAAAAACATTATTAATGTAAATTCAATTTTTTGTATTTTTCTTGATCCAATGTCTCTTTCTCTCATCCATTGGTTTTAAGTCTATGATTTTAACTTCATTTTGTCTCAAAATCTTCCAATCTCCACTTGGAGTGAGTGACCTTCAAACTCAATTTTTTTTTTTTTTTAATTACGCCTTCAACGAGAAAATCAGGAAATTGTTAATAGCCTTGTTCCATGACACGGTTTGACTGGTACAAGATTTTGTGGAGTGCATTGCTAACCTTTTTCTTTTATGATTTTTCAAGAAGTTTAAGAAGTGATAGTGTTAATACATGGTAACTTTATTTATTTATTTTTTTCAAGTGTAAATATATATTGAATAATATCTTATTTTATTTTAAATATGAAATTAATATTATAAGGGGAAGACTTAGAATAAAGAATTTACACTTAATTTATCTTAATGTTATAAATTTATTTATATAAACAAACATTATAATTATTATTTGTACTTAAATTTTAAAATAATATTATATTTTGTTTCTCATTTTAGTGTAATAAGTAAATAAACTCTTTTAAAAGTAACTATTATATTATGTATTGGATGAAAGTAATAATTTGTGTGAGTATAACTGATTATTGGACGATGATAATTGTTTTCAATATTTATTAAGTTGATCTATCTTTATGCGTATTACATATCAACAAAAATCAAATTAATATTTCAAGTTTTTTAATATTTATCTTCACTACCGGAACATGATATTACACAAATTAGAAAGCAATAAGCAAGATTTTTTGTTCAACCATTTTTGTACTTAGTTTGTATGATATTATTTGTATTATATTGTAGTTTAGAATTTAAGTAGCTTAGTTTTTGTAGTTTAGTGTACTAGTTTAATTTTTATAGTTTGTATGATATTGTATTGTTGTATTTTTAAATTACTATCTTAATAAATTTGAATTTGTAAATTATTTGTCA